CATTATCATCATCAGCACCATCGTAGAGCCATGACAGACATTTCGCAAATGTGTCTGCAATTTTGTTTTTGGGGCAATACTCGTACTCGTAAAAGAGTGGCTGCACCACCACATCCCACAACCCATCTACAGGCATGGCTAATCAAATTAAGCAGCAGCTCATAAATTATCCACATTCGAGTGGATCTGCCGACAAGGCCAATGGCTCTTTTCCTCGTGTCAGCCGCCTAACAGGTCGAGGTGAGATTCATTTTCGCTGCGTCTACAATTTCCATGTCATCACAATTAGAGGTGTCTCAAGGTGCGATAAAGGAACCAGTGATCTTCAGATGATCTGCCAGATAGCCACATGGGTATTCCATTCCCAAGTGCTCCTCCGTTCTAGCATTTTAGAGCCCTGAATATTTATGTGTTCCATTTATCAGTTCTGCATGGGTTTACCCACTAAACAGAGCCACAATTATAGTGGAATCTGTGCTAGCTGCCCTCTATCATAGTGGTCTCTATCAATTTCCTGCCCAATGTCAAAAAAAAAACTAATCAGAGCAGTTAATATATATAACTACGCCTTGGCTCGGCCATCAGACACCTATCTCCTATCGGCTATCTCCCCGAAATGACGCCATGGACACCTGTCCCTGTCCCTGTCCCTGGCATTCGAGATAAGTCCATTCTTCCATCGATAAATGTCAATCCGAAAGCTTTCATCATGTGAGTCCCAGAAGGGCTGCGAGTGTTGGGTGAGTGTTTATTGATTGTCATCCGAGTATTTCTTGCACTCTTGTGTCCCACATTCGCCGGACTCTCGTCTCGCATCGATCTCTTTTTTGCATGCAGTACTCGGACCGTTTTGTGCCATCTCATATGGAAAATTTTGTCGCCATGAAGGCGCATCCGCACCTGTCGTATCTCCACGGGATCGTCCGACATTTCCGGGAAAACGTTTTTCCACATGGCATGGAAAAGCTCTTAAGATTCTCCCAAGATTCGGATTAGTGAAACGAAGCGAAAGTGATGGAAAGGTGCAACGTAATGCTCTAGATAAATGGTGGCGCCACCAGGGGTAGGGGCAGGGAGCAGAGGCTCTTTTTTATGCGGAAATTATGTAAACAAAAACATGGGAATGCAACAACAGCGGGAAACTCTGTTAATGGGATGCTGATGATGGCAGCCTTTCGTCTCAAGATTCTCAAGATCCTCCTTTGATGATTCTCAAGATCCTCCTTTGATGGAATCAGAAGAATCTCTTAGCAAGCCCAAGATATGCAATAATTCATAATAATTCAATAATATATGTATCGTTTCTTTGGATCTTTTTGTATGGGAAGTGAAATGTTTACATAATCTGAACATAAAAGCAGAATTCCTTTGGAATCCTTTCTTCAGAAATCAACCCATGACAAGCCACAAATACAAGCAAAAGATCTCATTCCAAAATATTAAATATTAAATAGACATAGATATATGTATATAATATCTATAAGGATACATCCCCTCTAAACCAATGACCCATATTTAATGGAAATCGTGAATAAGGAGTCCCCTTAACCGATCTCACAACTTGCCATAGTCGATAAATTGATGAATAGTTTTGCATATTTGTGATGCATCTTTTTCACGGGTGCCCCTGGAGGGGGCTGGGGGCTGGGGGCTGAGCATAGCTGTCATCTCCATCTGCAGGCCTCTCCATCCGCTGACGTCGGCTGTCCGCTGACGACTTCCAGCCCCATAAAAGTGTATTTTTCTTTGGCGGCTGCTGCCATTACTTTGTTTTGTTGGATCTCTTGGTTGGTTTTTCCACAAAACCATTTCCATACATCTCCCGAGGAGCTGGGGGAGGCGGAGGCGGAGTCGGAGTCGGAGTCGGAGGTGCAGGCACTGGCGATATGAGTACGATGTATATTTTCATAATTAATTTCTGTGGCTTTTGTTGTTTGGAAAACCTAGTGCCGTGCTGTGACAGTTTTTCTTGCCACCGTCGCTGCCGATCCCTCCTACCTTCTGGGTTCCCTCCTGGTTTTGGTTTTATCGACAATTTCACTTTTGCCACAGAGCCACAAAGCCACAGAGCCACAGAGGAGGCCAGAAGATGATCTCGTCGTCGTCGTCGTCTCTCATATGTGATGACGACCCATGGATGTTGGGGGTCGTCGACAACAATTGCGGTTTGGTTATTTGCGGCCCCAAAAAGATTCCCAAGCACATTGTCGGATCGCGTGCACTTCTCTGCTCCTCTGCTCCATGTGGAGCTCCCTTCCCCCTTCCCCTTGGTTTGCTGATCATTTGTCAAACCTTATGGCGGCGGCTCCCAGTCGTTTGCGATTCTCAAGTGCAAAGCCAAGGTTGCATGTTTGGAGGAGTACTGCTCCTCTGCTTCTCTGCTTCTCTGCCAGAGCTGCTTTTATTATCGACACGAACCGAGAAGAAACAAGTTTCTTCCCAGAGCAAGCCAGACCAGATCCAGACCCAGACCCAGAGCCAGAGCCAGAGCCAGACTCCGACTGTGACTAAGAGGCAGGAGGCTCCTCTCTTCGTCCGTCAGCTGCTCGCTTGTTTGCCAACTGTTTGCAGAATTTCACTTTCTTTTCAAATTGCGACGACCTCGATTTATTACCAACCCAAACGACATCGCTGCTGCTGCCATGTGGACTGACTGAAGTGCCTGCCTGCCAGTGGAGTGGGGGCTTTGGGCCCCCGCGGATTGGGATTGGCCTTTGTTTTGATACCGTCGTTGAGGCTTAATTGAATTACGTTGAGCTTCTGCTTCTGCTCGAGCTTCAAATATGGCAGTATCACAATATATATATATATATATATTTAAAAAAAGAAAGAAGCTGCAAAAAATAATAATAATTATGGGAAAGTGAACGCCCATTGTTGGGCTCTTAACTCTCTTCGTATTAGGTTTTTGTTTTTGTTTTTCGGCGACTGCTTATTGATAACTCACATTAATGAGAGCTAATTTTCACATAATTAGTCGCTGGGGGACTGGGTGACTGGGAAACCTATAGCCCCCGGGGGGGTGGCATCTCTCTCTCTGTGGGTCAGGGGTGCACTGGGAGATGTTTTCTTACTTTCATCTAGAGCTCAAGGGCTCTCCACTCTTTAATGTCCCAATCTCGAAGGTCCTCTTTGGGGGGAAAGATCTTAGTGGGCCTTCCCCTCATGCGAGAGACTTCCTTCCTCAACAGAGACTCTGATTCAGTTCCCATGAAACTCCGATCCTGGTCTCTGTTGAACTTTGGCCGGTAGGCGTTCGCCCACTACTGACCAGCCGCAAGGGGTGTTGGCGGAATGCAGGGGGATGCAGCTGGCAATGGCCATGGGGGCAGCCATAAATAATGGCAAATTGTCGCTCATTGATGCACCTGAGGAGTGGTGGACATAGACCATTCAATGACCAGAGAGGAAGTCCCAGCCGGAGATGGCGATGGGGTTTCTCGTTTTGTTGGGGTTTTTGTGGCAACCAGAGAGACGCCAACAAGTGGCATGTGGCATGTGGCATCTGGCATCTGGTATCTGGCATATGGGTAGAGTGATGATGCGGTCAGCAGTAGCTGATGGCCATTTACCTTCGGCTAATTAGCAATTTGGCCAGCAACTGCTGACCCCGCCCCGAGTGCCAGGGAGAAAGTCGGTCTTCTGCATCGACGGCCTGTGAATCGGAAATTGTCATTCAATCGAACATTCAATTGGAATTTGTCTAGGTTTGTGCAATCAAAGCTAATTTATCTGAAGAAGCCTCAAGAGGCATCCTTCCCGTCTCAAGTGGTCTGAGGTTTGAGGTCTGAGGTCTGAGGTCTTTGCTGGGCCTCCAAGATAATTATTATTTTGTGGAATGTTCCCCGCCAGACAACTTAACGTTTTCGTTTATGGCCATAAACGGCCCATGGCCCCATAAAGCTGTTCTGTGTCTCACTCAGGTTTTTGTGGGACTTTATCTCTGCTAATATTTCACCGGTTAGTCAGCTCTTGTTTGTCCGTTTGCCAGTACTGTAATCAGTTCATAGAACGCTGGTCTTTATTCAATTTGAATGTCATTATCGCTGCCCTACAATCTCATATCAGTGGGTTATTTTGTTGTTGAGACTTCTTTGCCTGGAGACAATCATTGGAAATCGCATGCGACTTTGAACACGAATGAGATCTATTGTGGATGGGGGATGCCTTTAGAAATTGTTGTTCTTGGTATAGTTTTGGAATGGTTGGAAGAGCCTACATTTCGCAACAAGTTCAGAAACCATTGAAGGTATGGTTCCAAAGATATCAGAACAAATATGGCAATCAAAAAGAACAAACGTGGTTTTCGAGGTTGGGTTACAAAATTGCCAAATTCTACAAATTCGCTGGGACTATCTATGAAATGTTTTTTTTGACTATAATATATAACATATAGAGTGTTAATTTTCAAGGTTATTGTATGGAAAAACTTGCCTGGAGCTATCTATGGAGCTATCGTTAACCCTTGGCCATAAGCCGAGATTTAGAGAGACTTTTTTGGAAGAACTTTAATCAAGGATCATCCTGAAATTAACTTTTGCTGATTAGAATAGGTTTTCTCATCAAAGCTAATGCAATTATGAGTCGATTAGTTCATTTGGTATTGGCTTAATAAATTTCGAAAATAATATAGGGTTTTGTCCCTTATATCCTCACACAGAAATGTGTGTATTTTATTGAGTTTTAATACTATAATCTTGCATTCGTCTGGATGGAAGGTATCTATTCTTCTAGATTCTTTATGGACTCCGTTCATAGCTAGATCTTAGTTCTTAAGTCGTTCATTCAAAGAAGTTTTTCGTACAAAATATGACTCAAAATGCATTGAAAGGCAAAGTCCTAACTTTTAAATGGTTCTATAAAAGTGATAGAGTGGATCCTACCACATTGCCGCTGGATGTTCACATTTTGTGTTGTTTTGGATTTGCAAATACGGTGACCGTGAAACCACGAATCGAATGAGGAATGAACCGGATCAACGGCTTCTTTTTGCGCCTTTCATGTTCGGATCCGTAACCGGATCGAATGGTGGCCCGGTTCGGCCGCCTGCTCTCTATAAATTAGGAGCGTTGGCGTCTCTGGCTTGAATTTATGACTTGGAAAGTGAAATTTGACATCTAATTGGATTTTCCCCACTCTCCTCTCGATTCCAGGCACTGAACCGCCGCTTCGCGTCCCTCGGCCTCGACAGCCGCGCACTGGCGCTGGCGCTGGCTCTGGTGCTCTCTGCCACAACCACAACGGTGCAGGTCCAGGCCCAGGCCCAGGCATTGTCAAGGTCAGTCCTGCCCGCACAGCCGGCGGATCATTTGGTGCCGCCACCCCTGCCCACAGCGCAGCGTCTCAGCCATGCGGCAGGGTACTCGGAGGTGTCCCCGGTAGTGGCCTCTGCGCCTGTCGCCGAGCCACCGGGCTTCATGACGCGCGTGGCCCGATGGTTTGGATTGGGCGGACAGACGCCGCGCGACCAGCAGCTGGGGGCCAGCTCCAACAACTACGCCTACCCCAAGCCCGTGCAGAGCTTCGATGCGGCGGGAAAGCCCTGCAGTCTGTGCAACAAGTATCCCTGGGTGCCGATGGTGGGGCAGCAGCAGCAGCAGCAGCAGCAGCAGCAGCATCCTCCCCAGCAGCAACAGCAGGTTGTCCAATCGTGGCAGGTGCAACAACAGCCGCTGGCCCAGGCATCGCAGCATCGCCAGAGGGCCGTGCAGTTCCGGGCTCCGCCTGCGGCACCAGCGGGGCAGAGTGTCTTCCTGCCCATCACCGTGCCCCTGCCTGCCCTCAGCCACATGGCCCTGCCACCGCTGTACAATGCCCAGGCCTTCCGGCCGCTAGAGAATGTGGCTGCCCCGTCGGAAGTGCGTGCCAGCACAGTGCCACCAGTGCCACCGTTCCGACCGGCACCCAGTCCGCGGCCGTACAGCCCGAGCATCCCCAGCAATCCGGGCTTCACGAGCATCCCGAGCAGCAACTTCGAGATCGTCCAGAGCCACCAGCTGACGGACTTTGTGACCTCCGTGGAGTATCCGGCGACCTTTGTGCCATCGCATGCGATCGATCTGGGAGCCAGTGCACCCCACAGACCCAGCCCCCCCTCGGAGCAGGAGCACCACCACCAGCCCCACCATCAGCTGCAGGACATTAGCACAGTCCGCTACCAGCTGGAGGACCTGAGCAGTGGCTCGGTGCACCAGCACCTGCCCGCCTCGCAGCTTCTCACGGAACTGGGGCACTTTGCGGAGACGACCACGCAGCAGCTGCCGCCGGCAGACAACTATCCGGCGGCATCCTCCCAGCAGCTGCAGCAGGAGCAGGAGCAGGAGCAGCAGCTCTACTACGCGGAACAGTACCAGACGGAGGAGACCAGCACAGTGGTGTACACCACGACAGAGCAGCCGCCAACAGCAGCTCCAACCGCACCACCCGCACCACCCGCACCACCAGCACCACCAGCCCCCGTTGCGGAGGTCAATAACCATCTGGCGGCAGTGCATCATCGCGGCATCTATCATCACTCCGGCAGCCGCGGTAGGGAGACCCCTAAGCGACTGCTCGACTCGCCCATCAACCATGCCCTGGGGGTGGGGGTGGCCGGGGCGCGTCCCTTCACCCGTGACCCCGCGGATCTGAACTTCCGCCTCAGTCAGGTGTACACGCCCACGCCGGCGCCGCCTACGCCCACCTCCACGTACGGGGCCATCGATGCCAGCGGACAGTATGCGGGCATGTCGCCGCCGAGTCCCCAGCAGGTGATCATCCCCTACACGACAAAGCAGCGGCCACGCCCCTTCGAGCCATGGGTCCATGTCCACAGCCACAGCAACAGCCACAGCCAGAAGCAGAACCACAAGCACAGCCACAACCAGGAGCATGACCATGACGACAACGATGTGGAGGAGCCGCACGAGCAACAGGAGTCGAAGCTGGCAACGGCCACGGTGACGGCCCCGCCGCCGCCCAACACCCATCGCACCACCAAGTACCTGACCAAGATCCTGGCCTCCAATCTCCGGGAGCTGCTGAAGCGAGAGCGCGAGACGAAGCGCAGGCCCCTGGGGGTGGACATTTCCCGGCTGCAGCACAACATCGACGGCTGGACCGAGCAGGAGTACAACTCGTTGTCGCATCGCCCCAGCACCCCCACGATTCGGGGCCGGTCCAAGCACATCCCCACGGAGTACCTCACGACCACCACCACGACCCCGGCTCCGGCTACGGCCACGGCTAAGGCTCCGCTCCAGCAGCTGACGCGTCAATCGAAGACCACACGCGGCGGCGGCTTCGAGTTGGGTGGCGGCTCCGCTCCGCCCACCAATGCCGGGGATCTGTCCACCTCCATCAACAATCTAGAGCAGCTGCATCTGCTGGGAGAGCGCAGCTCGAAGCGCTTCCAGCCTCTGGAGGACAATCGACTGCATCTCGACTACTACGAGGGACAGCAGCGACAACGACCGCCCGCCATGACCACACCCCTGCCGAGCAGCAGCACCACCACCACTACTGCCAGGCCAACGACAATGATGCTCGCCAGCGAGGACGCGGTGACGCCGCTGTATGTGAGAAGCACTCAGGCGCCCAAGGAGCTGTGGAAACAGGCCCAGGTGGCCATCCTGCCGCAGACGAATGAGAAGGTCTATGTGGTGACGCCACAGCCCCGTCATCAGGCCTACCATCCGCCGGATGTGCATCATGAGGTGTCTGCCTCGGCATCAGCGCCACGTCCTGTGTACCACCAGACGCCAGCGCCAGTGCCAGCGTCAGCGCCAGCGTCAGCGTCAGCGCCGAGATTCCCCAGAGTGCGCCCGACGCCAGGTACAGGTAGGAGCTAAGATTATGGAACCGTAGAACATAGAACCACCGAAAACAGACAGATAGTCGAGCTCACACTCACACTCTCATTCTCTTCGTTACACTTTCCTCTTGCTTTACTTTTCGACTACTCTATGCAGGTGTTCTCTGTTTAACGAATGTCCTTGTTTTTTGTTCCAGGTGGGGAACCGAAGGCGGCCACGCCCACCATCAGCTCATCACAGCTGCTCAACTATACGCCGGATATCTTTGGGCTGATGGGTCTGTCGGCGTATGTGCCCGCAGATCCCGTGGAGATCATCGACGGCAACTCCAAAGTAAATCGCAATTCCCACCATCGTCTAGACATGTAATCTCGAGCTCTTGTTTTGTCTCCACCACCCACACACACTCCAAACACCACTATACACTCCGAACATTGAAAAACCTCCACCCACCCCACACACACTGTAGGTCATCACGATTCTGACAGCAGCGCCAACGGCGGCCGCACTTCAGAGGCCCACAGCAAAGCCAACGATGTCGCCCTCCCCGAGATAGAGACCATGCCCATGACCAGAAAGAGTTCAAGGACGCCGCGATCCGCCCCATCTATTGTAATATATTTCCACAAAAAAAAAAAAGAACAGAAAACACCCCTCATGCAAGGACCAAGGAGGCGTCCACATCAAACTTAGATTTAAAGCACAGTCTTTGGGAGTTCTATTTGTTAAGAGATCGATCCCCCTAATCCATGTTAGAGTATTTTCGCATTTGGTAGCTTTATAAACGCATAGAAACAGAGGGATCCTGGGAGTACAGAGAAGGAGAGGGATCCAGGGAGTACAGGGAAGGAGTGGGATCCAGGGAGTGTAGGGAAGGAGAGGGATCCCAGGAGTACAGATGCCCAGGAGAGGCATCCAGGGAGTGTAGGGAAGAAGAGGGATCCCAGGAGTACAGAGAAGGAGAGTTAGATGCTTCGACGGATGATAGAGAGGATGATTCCCCCATAGAAAAGATTTACTCCACTTTTTTTTTTTTCTTTTATTTTCATGTAGTAATATGTGGGCGTTTCTTCTGCTAGATGTAATTCTTTGTATAAATATCTATATATCTTATCTGTACTATATAAATCGAATCTATCGAATGTCCTGATGTAGATAACAATTTCGAATGCAATTTTTCAACGTGCAAGAGAAGTACATGAAAAGAAAAAACAAACGATAAGCAAAGTCACTTTAATGTACTCTAATTTTTAAGAATGATTGAATACAAATAAAATATCATCAAGTAAATTATGCCAATCTTCGACATCTACAAACTGAAACCATTCTGAAACATGGGACGACATACATAGTGTATCATCCATCTTCCGGTGTTTCTGTTGAACGACCCACCGACCCAAAGACATATCTAAAGTTTTGAAAAGAACAAGATAGCTTCACATTTTGTAGTATTTTATTTTATATTTCAGAGAATATTAAGAAGATCAAAATGTAGGTGTATCAATGTCGTACACTTCAGCTTCTTTCAAGTGCAAAAACAAACTTTTGCAGACACAAAAGTTTAATCAGAATTCCAATAGCCATGACCAAACTATTCCCAATTCTGTAGCATGCCCCTCGTAAGCCTGAATGAGGAGGAGAAGGTTAATCAGCACCAATCCTACTGGGGCAACCATACATACATACATCTGTATACATTCTATCTGTTTATGATGGATTGGCTGAACTTCCTCTTGTAATATTCCTTTGCTGTACTTCTGTGTAATGGCAGTTGCCACTGGCGTACTTCATTTGGAGATGATCATCGTCTTTAGCTGGGCGATGATCAGCGCAGCCACCCTCCAGTAGTACCGACTTATAACATTCTATTCCGTGATTGTGGCTTGTTGTTGGCTTCCTTCAATAAATTGCTCGGCAATTGCGGGGACCCTGGTAAAAACTCGTGAGCAATCTAAACGTTTGACCAACTGAATTCGAAGGGATTTTAAAGAATTCAAAGAATAAACGTTACCTCAATTGAAAGTCTGCAACCAAAGATGTTTTGATTAAATGTTTGAAATTTTCGCCAAAGCTCTTTCGGTTTTAGTGTAGATTGTGTCCGGGCAAACAAAAAAAAAATTTTAATTTTGTGTATAATAATACGAGTGTACTCGTACGTCTAGTGTAAAAACACAATATAGAATTTTATAATGATAAAACAGAAGACTACTAGATCCTACGGTATTTTCCAAAGTAAAGTAAATTTTGTTATGTTTTGGTGGCTTTTGAAATCTATCGACTGGCTAGAATGTTCAGCTACGAACTATGTATATCTGTTTTCCATCAATTCAGTAGTAGATATACAATGCCGCTCAACTGTACAAAGATCAGTCCCCTCTTTGGGGTATCCACTTGTAGATTCCTGAGAAATTTGGGAGATCAGAAAAGCTTCGATGCCGGGAAATTTGTTAATTTTCTATAAGGCCGGCTAATTTTATGCTCTTTTTCTCCTTCAAGTTTGATCTTTTTTTTCCCAAAAACGCTTACTGGAAAAACCTCCCTTATCCGTTTTTTATATTCAATTTTTTTTGCTACATTTTTTAAAATTTGTTTTTTATGAATCTGATTACAAATCGGCATTCGATATGTCTGGACTCTGCACACTCTGCAAAAGATTTGACAGCCCAAAAGCATGCTACACTTTTCCAGCGTGCAGTGTCATGTCCATGTCAATATTATGTAGTGCATGTAAAATGTCATGTAAAATGTACATATGTGTATTTTGATAATATTTCATTTGAAATCTTAAAATATTACCAAAACCCAGCATCCTGTCGTTCGAAATATTGATTGAATGCCTTGATTTTCGTTATAAAGTTTAAGTTGATTGATGTAAAAGCTGGATCTTCCCTGAAAGTGCGTTCAGGGACCCACCCTGGAGAGCTTGATAGATATTTCCCATTACATAAGTATATATCGAGTATAGACCATGTTGTACTTTTTACTTTGTAATGTATTACAAGACATTATCTTAGAGATAGCAAAAAAAAAAAGAAAGTATTTTCTAACTTAAGCGCCGAAGGACCGGATGGGATGCCGACGGATGATCAGCTATTCTCCAGGCGCTGCTTCCGCCGATGGCGTCGAATGAGCGCCTCCAGGGTCCAGGAGGCGGCGGCCACAAAGGACATCATATTGAGACAATGCAAGGTCACCGAATAGTTAAAGCGATCCCGCACAAGACCTGGAAGAATAACGAAAGCGTGAGATCGACAGGAGATCAGATGCGAGACTCGACTCGACTCGACTCACCGACAAATGGTCCGCAGATGAGTGTAAACAGCCCCGAGATGAGCAGCTGGAGGCCCGAGGCGCCTGGCAGTCGATTCAGCGGCACGTAGCCGGGTATGATCAGGGGCCAGAATATGGTGCGCACGCCCTTGCACAGCCCAATCCACACGAAGCTGCACAGGATCATGGAGTAGGATCGAGTGCAGGCCACCACCGTGCGGCCCAGTGCAATCCCGACGACGCCAATGAGGAAGAAGACCCGGTTATCCCAGGGGATCTTCTCGGTCAGGAAGGGCACCAGGAAGCGCATGGTGATGTCCAGGCCGGCCAGCAGGGACATGGCCAGCGTGATCTGGGAGGTCTCGAAGCCGAAGTCGACCAGGATGAACGGCGTCAGGATGGAGAAGTTGAGCTCCCCAAAGTTGATGATCGTCAGCCCCGCAACGAGATTCACGAAGGTGAAGTCGCGCAGCAGGTCCAGGTCGAAGAAGGTCACCACCTTCTGGAGGAAGCCTATTTCCCCTGGACTGGTCTGCACGTCAGGATCCTTGTTGTTGTTGTCCTCCCGGGCAATGGCCCGGTGCTCGGAGCACCTGCAGCAGAGCTTCGCCTCCAGATTGGACTCGACGCGCTCCCGGCGAAAGTTGTTTGGCCTGAGGAACTCGTCGTCGCCCTGGTGCTCCTCGCTGATGGGACAGTGCAGGCGCTGCGTCTGCTCCAGATCCTTGGAGCTCGACACAGTGCGAAAGCGCAGGCGTCCCGAGGTCAGCGAGGGCCGTGACCCGAACCAGCCGTCGTTCGCACGCGACAGCATGGGGGTGCCCGGCTCACAGATCTCATAGCCAGGCCGCTGGGCATCGTCGTCCTGGCACAGGTACTGGCTGGAGAAGATCCCCCCCGGCTCGCGCTTCTGCTGCCAGGCGCAGTGGGCGCACAGCGCCTCCGGCGCTTGCTGCTGCTGCTCCACCAGCAGCTCCGGCTCCGTGCTGCTGCCGTTCACATGGTACCGCACCGGCTGGTAGATCATGGCACTGACAAAGGAGTGCAGCGAAATGGCGGCAAAGAGCAGCACGGTGCCCTGGACGCCGTAGACGGTCAGCAGGAACGTGACCAGATACGGCAGGAAGATGGGACCCAGGCCCGTGATGGTCCACGAGAAGCCAGCGGCCTTGCGGCGCTTCTTCTGGAAGTACGTGTTGATGGCCAGCGAAGAAGCCGAAACACTGATGCCCATGCCAAAGCCTAGAACAAGAAGATTCTGTTGGTAAAAGTGGCAGATCCCTAGGGGACTGAAGATGACTCACCGAAGAGCAGGGCATAGGCCACCATATAGCCGACGAATGTCTCACAGAAGGCTGTGAGCACTATTCCACTGGAGATCAGCAGGGAGCCGGCCATGGCCACCTGGCGAAAGGTGAAGCGCCGGAACATCGGCCCATTCAGCAGGCCCGTGCAGGCGGACACCGCCGGATTCGTGTTGATGATGGCCGTGATCTGAGAGCTGGACATGCCCAGGTCCCCCAGGCGCTCTCTGAACAGGAAGCCGAACTGCTGCAGACACGGATAGATGGACAGCTGTGGGGGTGGGGAAAGGATTTGCTCAATTCGGGGGGAAACGAGGGCGAGAGCTGAAGCTGAAGCTGAAGCTGTGGCTCTGCGGGCGTTGGACACCTTTTACCTACATTGGAAACGCCAGCGGCGACGCACACCAGCCACGCCCAGCCGCCATCGGGGGCCACAAAGTCATCGCCCAGATCGCTCTTGTCGTTCCTGTTGTAGTACCGAGCCGAGGGGGCCTTGTCCAGGGGCCGAGTGGTGTTCTGGTAGACCTTCTTCTCAGCGGATTCCATTGCTGTTGCTGAAAAGATCCAACGCAGAGACAGAGACAGACACAGAGACAGAGTCAGTATGTGGATCAGTTGATCTGTCGAACCCCGGAATGAGGAATCATTTACTCGCGAAGCTCGTGCTCATACAAAACCAATTGCCGCTTCGAGTATGATTTACGAGCCGATCGTCAATTTGTTTGGTGTAACACTTTAACGATCCACTTGCCACAATTAACTGCAGTCCCTGAAGGCTATGAACATGCGACCGACTGCATGTGGTGTAGTTCTCAAGCCCCCATACTCTCAAACACGCTTTCTGGGTTTCTTTCTGTGTTGTTGCCAGCAGAACCCAGAGCCCGGGTTCATGGCTGGGGCTTATGCTAGCCCAGACCACTCTCCCTCTCCGATCGATCTCTCTCTCTCTCTCTTATCAGCATAGCAGTCATGTGACGCGGACCTAGACCCAGAGACCAAGACCGAAACCGAGACCAAAGTTAGCGCGCAAATAGCTAAAGATTTTCGTTGAGTGAATCACTTTCATTATGTCCTCTAGAAGATTTTGTTGCCGGCGAGAGGAGAAGGTCACTGATGTCTGGAGGCGTATCAGTAATTAGTTCAGTTCCCAAAAAAAAAACAAAAAATGCGATCAATGGAAAGCATTTGTGTGGAAATTCCAAAATATTCCACTAAACTCTGGCTCAAAGATCCTCCAATCTCTGCCATTTGTGGGGAGAGAAGGATCTATAAAAGAGGCCTCAATCAGAGTTCCACCTAGTTGATGATTTGCTGATGCTGTTTCAAATTGTATAACCATCGAAAACATGCGAGTACATCGCACCTCCATTGCTCTTCGATTGTGGGAGGTGTGTGCCACAACCTGATGACAGATTCCCAATGATAGTAAATTGAGGACTTAATTAGATAAGGCTATTCTTGATAAGAACTATCGGCAATAAAGTGAAACTGAAACCTACGTAAAATCAAACTGGAAGGTGGACTTTAGTTGTGTTAATCAGCCGATAAAGGTCTTTAAAGGAAAAGGTAAGGTACGAGTATCAATATCAATCAAAATATACCATATACGAGTATTCCGGATATGTTAAGAATTCCAGCAATAACGATTATTATCCTCGTCTATCTGTACCCAGACTGAAGACCGTCCTTGATCTTTCCTGATTCGTTGGACATGTAATGGATCAGTTTGTTATTGTGGAAATTCCATTGTTTTACGAGTAGCTCCTCGAATCACTCGAAATGATCGCAAAACAATTGGCACAGATCGCCACAGATAAGCAAAGCCCACTACTATATTGACTATAGATCCATCCAGCGATAAGGATGATAAGATTGCGATGCCTTTACATGGGTCGGCAACGTTTTGGTGACTTGTTGCCAATATTGTGCCACCAGCTGGGGCTCCCAGATAGCCCATGTGGTGGATTGGGGTATTGACATTTTCCCAAGGCCCCTTCCACTTTAATCGAAGGGAATCGCTGATAGCAGCGGCAGCAGCAGGAGGAGTAGGAGGAGCAGGAGGATGAACCCGTGCGAGGTGCGTGACAAGAACGTGCCTGTTGCTCCTCCATTAGCTAGATGATGCCCCCGTCTCACAGTCGAATCACTCACCTATATCCTCTATAGTATTTCGCCCTCTCCTTGGCTAGTGCGCAAATTGGCAACGATGATTATTTTTAGTTTTTATTTCGGTTGCTATTGATGCTTAATGCTTTATGCCTGTTGCCTTTACCTTTGCCTCAGCGTCAGCCTCAGCCTCAGCCTCCGCCTCCGCCTCCGCCTCGGGTGTTATTTTATTTTTACACTCTCTGTCACACGCGTTACAGCGCATTGACTGACTGACTGAATGATTGGCGCACTGAATGAATGACAGGTTGAATGCCTGCATCTAATTGAAACAGACACACACGAAATGCAGTCCAAGTTCAAGGTTGCCCAGAATGGTGTCGTATGGGCAGGGAGCTGTGCTCAGAGCAGGGCCACTCCTTGGTTCACCTATTTCTCGAATTTAAAATATCTACAGATCTATAGATCTACATATATATATATGTAGGCCCGACTCGCGACTCACGACTCGCGACACACTCTACGGGGGTAATGGGAATGCAATGCCCGATCCGAATCCAATTGCCATTTGGCGGAATATTCCTCTAATCGCGGCCCCGTGTTCTCTCGCCCCAAACGCCGTCGTCGTCGTCGTCGTCGACAGCTGAGGAAATAAACTAAAACTGAGAACTAAACTGAACTGAACCGAACCCAGCACAGGCACAGGCAGAGCAGAGTAGAGCAGAGTGTACGGCGTGTACGGCGTGTACGGTGTGTACGGCGTGTACGGTGTGTACGGACAGGCAATCGAAAGATCGGATCGACTAGCGCCAATCGAACGACGTCGACGTAATGAGCAGCAGCGAATGCCCGGTGGGGGGCAAGAGGCTGTCAGTCCGTACGTCCGTACTTCCGTCCGTCCGTCCGTTCGTCTGTTAGTTAACAGTCGGCTGTAAAGGTGCGAGAAAAACGATTTGTTTGCTTTGGCGGAAGCCAAACAGTGCGTCACTAACATTTAGGCATAGGCATAGATACGATACGATCCGATACGATACGATACATCTATGTTATGTATATTTCGTTGGTTCGTTCGTGAGTTGAGGCAGGCCACGTGCTGCCTCCCTCTGCCTGCCCGCCCGCCTGCCTTGGTCGTTCTTTCTCTGACACCTGTACCCCGTACCACGGGCTTTACCCGAAGAGCCCAAAAGTGTGCAGCAAACATTTGGTAGATCTTTTGACAACCTTTTGTTGGTGGCTAATTGATTTAAAGAATATTTGAAAAGATTTTGATTGGCAATGGAAGCGGCGGAGAGAGTAAGATTAGCGATAAGGGTATTCTTCTCTGATCCAACGGAATGTACGAAATCGTTTATGAAGGATCATTTGCAATTCTTCGGTGGGGATTACTTATGATTTTTCATAAAATAAACTCCAATCGAAATATATTAAGATTGTACTCTTCATTCAGCTATAATCCAGATGTTTCGTGGCATAGATCCCAAAAGATAACCAAGCTTAAGGGAGACTATATTCCATGCTTTTTCGTGTGCAAAAGGGACCGAACGCTTTTCACCCTTTCATATAATCCACAAATTTATACTCAAAAATATATCTCCAATTGTACCCACATAACATACATATGTATATCTATTAGACACCTCAATCACTCTCGATCAATCAGTATATGATCATCGTTAGTTGCTGCAGATTATCATTCTTCATGTGGCAAGCAATATCTGCAATTGAACACGAAAGGAAATCAAGTGTATCCCTAATTAAAGAACCCGAATAGTGGTCAAGATATACGTTCTCTCTGTATAGATCCCAAGAATCAATCGGTTTCTGAGTGAGCGTAACTAATTGATTCGCAGAACAAGAATGCAAATCGTTTGTGTCGCTAAGTGGATGATCCTCAAGCAGGACAAAGGCAGGCCCAGAAATTTCTCATACCCAAGAAGAAGGTCTCGATAAGACCAATAGTCCACAAGATGTTGCATGTTGATGTTGTTCCCTTTACCAGTAACTCCCCTTTCAGAACTCTTTTGTTTCAACTTAACTAACATTTATATTTATCAATCAACGTGTAGGTCAGCATCACACATATTATATGATAGGTGTAGTTGTAACCACTAAGTACAGTATTCATAGTCTTATTTATATAGTGTATATATATATTATATGTATATATTATAAAACGCAAAATAAAAACAAAAAGAAATGTGGTAAAAAAATGAAAAAAAAAAAAAAAAATTAAATTAGGAAAAAAAATGACTAAATGAAAGACTACATGATATGGTGGTGGGATATGATGGGAATTTTTCATTTGTTTAGGGGTAATACAATTATGTATATATACATATATGTATATATATATATATATTGTATCTTGTATATTTTATCTTAGGTATCTTTAAGTACGGCCTGCAACTATACCGTATGCTCAATCAACGTAATACTATGCTCACACACAGAGACACACTCGATCTTAAATAACATCTAGGTAGGGGCCCAGGCCAAGTGTGGTACCACTGGGTATGGATGGATGGATGGATGGATGTGTGGATGGCCAAGTAGTTTCAGTTCCGACGAGAGAGAGTGAGTTTAAACACATTTTAGAATAGGATCGGCCGGACATCACTGACCCAGCCCCTTCGACGGTCGCTTCAGGACGCGACGGACAATCGATTCCGTGAGCCAGAGGAGCAGGGCCATAGCGGTGAGGAAATTGATGGAATGAATGGTGGCGGCATAGCCAAAGGCCTCCGTGATAATGCCTGCAAGTAAAACGACACACAAATCAGAGAAGTTCTGCAGAGAGAGAGAGAGAGAGAGAGAGAGAGAGCATTATGTATGATCCTGGAGACTTACCCAAAAGAGGACCCATGGCAAAGGAGAACATTGTATTGAAGATCAGCTGGAGACCCGAGGCGGCGGGCAAGCGATTGAGCGGCACGTAGCTGGGAATGATCAGGGGCGAGAAAATGGTGCGGAAACCCTTGCCGAAACCTATCAGCAAGAACACACCGATCATCACCTCGTAGGAGTTGGTGAATGCCACAACCACACGGCCGACGGCAATGCAGAGGATCCCAAAGGCAAACAGCACCCGGTTGTCGAGCTTCACCTTCTCGAGGGCCAGCGGGGCCAGGAATCGCACGGAGATGTCCATGCAGGCCAGCAGGGACATCACCAGGGAGATCTGTGTGTCCGAATACCCGAAGCTATTCAGAATGAAGGGCGTCAGCACCGAGAAGTTCATCTCGCCGAACATCATGATGCTCATGCCCACGGCCAGATTCACGAAGGTGAAGTCGCGCAGCAGGTCCAGATCGAAGAACTTGCTGACCTTCTGGAAGAAGGTCATGCGGCTCATGGCCTCATCCTCCTCGGCCTGCAGGGCCTGGTCGTCCATCTGCTCCAGTCGCATGGCCTCGGCGGTCTTCTGCAGCAGGGCCTTGTCCTCGGCGCAGGTGCATCGCAGCAGCTCCTCCTGGCCGTTCTTCGAGTAGACGCTCGTCTTGCTGGTATACCGCTCCTGGTCCTCGCGCTCCCGATTGAAGTAGTTCGGCTTATAGAGGCCCTGCTCTTGCGTCTCGTCCGTCCGGCTCGTCTCCAGGCGATCGAGATTCTCGCGGCTGCGCGACGACACCTGTCGCATCAGCTCCCTCCGCGTGCGTAAGCGTGCGCCACCCGTCCCCTGATCCGCGGTGAGCGACAGCTTCGAGCCGAACCACCCGTCATTGGCGCGGGCCAGCATGGGGGTTCCCGGCTCTGTGATCTCGTAGCCCGGACGCTCCGGATCGTCCACATTGAAGAGATACTGCGAGGAGAAGATGCCACGCTTGGCACGCTTCTGGTACTGACAGTACTTGCACTCGTAGTCGATCCAGGGATCGCTGCCGGGCGTCAGCAGATTCCCATTGGCCTCCGCCGTCTCGGGATGATCCTTGGCCGAGTCCAGTCCTTCGGTGGACGCGGTCTTTGGCTTCTTCACATGCCGCAGCACCGGCTGCAGGGTCAAGGCGCACAGTACGGCATTCATGGCGATGCCAGAGTAGATCAAGATGGTGCCCTGTGCCCCGTAGAAGCCCAACAGCCAGGTGGACACATACGGAAAGAAAATAGGCCCCAGTCCCGTGATGGTCCAGGAGAAGCCGGTGGCACGACGACGCCGCTGCTTGAAGTAGGTGTTGACGGCCAGCGAGGTGGCAGCCATGGCCAGGCCCAGGCCAATGCCATATATCGCCGACAGGCAGACGATGTACTGCCAGAAGGTGGTGCAGAAGGCCGTCAGAAAGATCCCCGAAAAGCCCAGGATCGTGCCCGTGAGGGCCACCTGACGGAACGTGAAGCGCCTGAACATGGCTCCATTAACGATACCTGCCAAAGGCACACAAATATATTCATGATCCTTGATCTCAGATGGCTACCACTCACCGACTAGTGAGGACACGGCCATCACCACATTCACAATTGTTGTCGTCTGTTTGGCATCGAATCCCAGGCCATGCATCCGCACTCTGTAGATCAAGCCGTACTGCTGCAGGGCCGGGAACAAGAAGAACTGTAATTGAAAAAGAAATTGATGTCCCTCAAATGTCCATCGAATGTATATCAACTTCAATTCCACATACGTTATTCAATCCGGCCGCCAGGCACACCACCCAGCCCCAGCCGCCATCTGGAGCCACAAAATCCGGGCCCAAATCGCTCTTGTCCCGCCGCTTGGGCTTCTTTGGTTTCGTCGTAACATTATACACATTCGTGTGATTCTTGTCTGTTAAATTTGATTTGTCCATGGCCTGAAAGAGATCAAGAAAAATCATTTAGTTTTGAGAGATCTTAACGTTCATCACAAAAGATCTACTCTATACGGTTGAAATTCCTTCCTATCCTTTCCTGTGGCGCGTCCTGCAGCAGTGCCCAACGGCGATTTGTGGCTGTCATTCTATTGCTCAAACATCATCACTTGATCACCATAAAATATCTACTATAATATACAGTATCGTTCGTTGCATATTTGTCCTTTGATGTCGCGCGTCATGCAACAGCGCTCCTCGGCTTGGGCCACTTGATGGTTTATTTATGATAACACCTTTCGGTTTAACATTTAGCGCGTCACGCAGCAGCGCCCCTTGGTTGTAGTCTTCTATTTCCTTCAAGATTATTCTATACTTTATAGATATCTTTCTCTATCTCGTTCTCCCAGAACTGCCACACCTTCAAGACGACCCCTTAAACGTCTAGCAATCTGAGATTTGTCTAACATATTTCTCTCCAATACCTCTCCATTGCCGTTACCATTCCTTATCCTATAGTCCAAGTCGCTGTCAGTGTTTTTCCAAAAAACTATCATTAGCCCACACCATTCATTATTGGCATTATCACATACTCGTATGTATGTATTTTCGCTGGTATCTGCGTATCTATAGCCCCGTCGATGAGGGCACACCTTTAATGGAGCAAAAGGTGGAGCTGTCGCTGTTGCTGTCGCTGTTGCTGTTGCTATTGGCGAGGTGTGGAAGGAGCAAAGATAATTCTCTAATTGCTAATTGGGATTGACGCAGAGAGGCTCCATCATAATGGAGAGACCAGACCGACAATCATCATTATTATAGGGTCTATCGAGTGACTCTCATCATAGATACAATATTTCCTATTAATGGGTGCGACATCGTCGAGCGATTGCCGCTATTTATTTGGTATGCAAGCCACGAGGGGAGCTCTCTTTCCAATTTGAATCGATGCAAAATGGAAATCACTTAGCGGGTGGGGTGTGGGCTATGTGTGTGTGCCCCAAAGAGTTGCACGAGCTGCAGCCCAGCACAGCACAGACCGGATTGGATCGATGCACTGAAATGCGGCACAGCGAGACTCCATCAAGAACGATCGAGAGATGGTTGTCATCGTTCGGTTCTTGCGATAATCAAAAGACAACTTGTACCTCCGCCCCCCCCTTTGCCTCCTTTGCCCCCCGTGGCATGCCGGGTTTATTTATGCATCGATAATGCGAGGACAAAGCCGGTGCACTGGTGCACTGGTGCACTGCACCAGATCCATCTTACATCCGGGGGATGTCTTCATTCAGACACTGCTCCTCCATGTGTCGGTGTGTCTGGGCTCTCTGTGTCCGTGTGTTGCCATTGAACTTCATCGGAGCGTGCCATAAATTGACGCCCCGTCCGTTGTCGTAGTCGGTCTGGAACTCGAACAGAGACTGCGACTGCGACTGCGACTGCGACTGCCGGTACGGGCTCGGGATCGGGATCGGGATCGGGATCAGAGGGGGTAGCACAACGATGGCACTTAGCAGTCGTCGTCCCCCCCCCCTCCAAAATTAAGCGATCGATCAACAGAGAGGAAAGCGTTCAAACAAAATAAATGAAACGAAGCCGAAGCTTCAAACACACTGGAAATTTCAGTGGATTATAAATATTTTCAGGTTTCATTATCGTATGTTTTCATGCAGTGACTCTTGATAGGTAGATACATCTTTATTCCTTCACTTTTGATAGGTGGATCTCTCTTGAATCCTTTTCTGTATCCCGTATCCGACCAAACAGGTCGCGCTTCATGCAGGTAGCGCCTCTCGGTTCATCCTAGCCGCAACTGAATACTGATTGGGATCCATAGAATATTTGAACAGAAATCTCTTGAGAATTGTGTGTTCTTATAACCGAAAGAGCAGACACTCTATGGCTACGAAAGGTATTCCGCTCGGCCACAGAGCCGAATGCCAGCTCTCGTTTACTCTCTCGCTCTCTTCGTTATATGTACATTTGTTTGTATTTTCTTTGAGGACTGAATTCATGAATTCATTCCATACTCCATGGCAGGGTATTCCCAAGCAAAACTTTCGCTTGAAGACGCAGTCGCACTCTGAGATCGTTTCAACGCGACAGCCGAGAGTCGAGAGCCGAGAGCCGAGAGTCATGGGTGCGATCTATCCGTCGATCCAGCTGCCCAGCTCTCCAGCCATCCATCCATCGACCACGACATTCAGGTTTCGATGCCAACGGAGAGCTCCGCTCCGGCTATCGCGACGGTTTCCGCAATTTGTCGTCATTGCTTTCTTATGATTTTAGTTGTATTTGTTTGTTGTCTCTTGTATTGTGTATTGTGTGTATTGCGTGTGTGTGTGTGTGTGTGTTTTTGCACAGTCATGCCGCGTGGGCAACAAATTTTGTGTGTTTCAGAAAAGCAAACACTCACGATGTCGGGGCAGAGGAGAGGAAGCAGAGCTCAGAGCAAGTGCGATGATAAAGCCCCCAATCAATGGGATTTCGGAATTGCGAATCGAATATGTTTTTTGTGGAATTTCACAATATTTTGAAGAGGGTATTCTCAGATAAGTTAAGCGTATTCCGATCCCAGATTAGTCTCATAAATAGTAGAATGTACTAGTAGCAGGGGGGGGGGGGGGGGGTGTACTAAATAGGGATTCCCCGCCACAGCAGGCATGTCCCAAGGAGGATTACGGCCCAGAACAAAGAGAGTCTGCTGCTGCCGGCACGGGAATGAGTTTATCTTTTGTACGATAGCAAAGGTAACAATTGCCACTGCCATTGCCCCATGCCACAAAAGGCAAAATTCTCGGCAAATACTCTGCAATTTTCGCATTGCTCTCTCTCTCTCTCTCTCTCTCTATCTCTCTCTCCCGAGATAAGACTCAATCGGCCCACAGGAAAGAAATCAGGAAAGAAGTACGATGCGTTGACCCTTATCTATCGGACGAGTCGAGTGTTTGGCCATTAGGGGCGGCAGATGACTCATTAGTTTGAGCGGATAGATAAATGTGACGGGCGGGACGGGCACACAGGCGGCACTATTGATTACGATCGACTCTCTGACGCTCTACCGCTCTGTCGGCAGTTCGTTGTCGTATCTCTGGAGCCAAAAGACAAATAGTAGAATGAACAAAACACTTGTACCTTTTGAAGTTCACAATGCACATGTGTCCGATGTCCGATGCGATGTACAACAGGTGCAGCCTAATGGTTGGACAAGCACCGGAACATGCCCCATGCCCCCAAACCATACGATACGATACGATACGATACGATACGATGGGTAGGGGTTTTCATCTCGCTCTCTCACTCAATTGGCCTCTAATTGAGATTAATCGTTGTTGAAATACACACTCCGTATACGTTGTACGTCTCCGTCTCCGTGTACGTTTACGTCTATGTCTATGAGGAGAGGAGGCGTCGCGCTGATCGTTTCATTTCACAAGCAGAAACAGCGACTTCAATTAAATTGTGTCAATGAGAATTGATTAAGGCCCACAGATATAGCGGAGAGCGGTAATTGATTCGCGCCGGCGGCTAATTGGTAGAACGCGGGGTGGCGCCGCGTGGCCCCAGCAACACCCTCCCCACCAGCCCGCTGCCCCCACTGGTCTCTCTCTCTCTCTCGCTCTCATAGTATAGAGTATACTGTACTGTATGATCAGCTGAAAGTTTTTGTGTGCATTGAGCAAGAGTTCAAAGAGCGGGAGATCTTTCACACAAGGAGAGAGGGAGAGAGAGAGAGAGAGAAAGCTGAGCAGAGCAGAGCAGAGCATTTGTCTGCGATCTGTTGAGAGGGAATACGTTTAATATTTACGATCATGGAAATTGCAAAACTCTCAAATACTGTCTTTCCATAGACAAAAGCAATCAGAACCCCACAGCTATCCTCAGATCTTAGCCTCTGGGGATTTTCAGAGAATTTCAGATACTATTTATTAGGCAGACAGACATCAATGCCTAGATTTAGTTCCTTTGGGTCTCAAAATCTAGTATCTCAAAATGTATGCCGGTTAGAATTGCAATCATTTTTCAGGGAAAAACTTCTAAGGGAAACCCTGTTGTACGATGTGTGATTCATTTCTATATTCCAGAGATGGCGCCTTCTAAACATTCCCAAAAAAAAAACCATCGTAAAACCAAAAAAGGGAACCCTATTTGCATGGCAGGGCATGGGATGGTTCTGGTGTTTGGTTTTTGGTTTCTGGTTTTCGGATTCTTTCCGTCTATAGGTAGTAGTCGTGGCGTCATGCCTGGTTTGTTGTTAAGAGAGAGACGACTACGAATGGGGCTATTTATACACCCAAAAGAGTGGGCCCATGGACTTGGACAGAGTTATCATTCACTGTGTAGGCTGTGCGGCCCTCTGATGTGGGGTTCACAACTCCGTCTCTCACAATTGCATCCAGAGATTATGGGCAACGTGTTCTGGCATGGGCTCTGTATGGGCTATTTTTAGTAGCATTTCATTACATTTCATTTCAATGATTGTTATTGCCCTGCTCTTGCCACAAAATAATCCCAACACCCGACACATTCTCACATGTGTCTCTGTCTGTCTGTCTGTCTGTCTCTCTGGGAATGGAATATGGGATATGCCTGTCGTATGTGGTATGTGAATGAAGATCATTCCCAATGTCAATCCCAGAGAAAATCCCCATGTCCATGCCGCCTTGCATACAATTCGGTTCTATTCTAGTTCATTTGGTTATTTCTTTTTTCGGTTTCGAATAAACTCACGTACTCCCGACGTTGCACTTCAATTCGACTTAAGTGGGCAGTGCGGCGGTCGGAGGGCCTAAGTGCCTTCTGTGAAGTGAAACACTATACTGCCGGCCCCTGTCCCCTGTACCCAGAAATGCACTCGAACGTACCTCTGACTCTCTGACTCTCTGCCTCTTCTTATTCCCAATTCTAATGGCAATTGCTCTAGCTCCAAAAAAAGAAAAATACAAAAAAAAATGCTAATTCCACTTGGGTGTGCGCTTCTGACACATGATCTCTCTCGCTCTGTCTCTGGGAATAGTGGGAGTTCTCCAATCAATTAGTCAAACTATCCATCTGCCCCATAGAATAACACAGAAAGAGAGAGAGAGAGAGAGAGAGAGCTCTGGTCTGTTCTGTCTGGGCCAAGAGCTTATCGCCTGCATTTGTGATTCCATCGGGAGGAGGGGCCTTTGGACCGCGGGTCTTTATCGATTGCATAATCCCAGCGAACAGGGTGCTTCCATTATACGATAATCATCAGCACGTAAGCAGCTTAAAACTGTTGATTCAATTCACAACCACACACACACACACACACACACACACACACACACACACAAGAAACAAATTCTCAAAACTGTCTACAATTTTCCATTTCCCATTTGCACATTGCACGTAACATTTACCGACTTTAGTACATCAAAAACAAAAAAAAAAAATAAAAAATAAAAAACACATTAAATACCAGACGGAGCGTGGCCCCCGATTCCCCGATTTCCCGATTCCCCGATTTTCATTGTTCGCAACAGGTTATCTCTGGCGGGGAGTCAAATACGAAAATCCGCACAAACATTTCCCCATCTGGGGGGCTCTGTGCCGAGGGCTTTGTGAGTCTGAGCTGCTCTGAACTGCTTTGCGGGTCCGCTGTCTGTGCTGACAGCTCTACGTTATGCCCCTCGGGGGCAGCATCTTCCTCCAGCGGCACAAGCCGACAGCCCAGAACCTTGGCCAGCTGACATCTAGGGGTGTTGCCTCTGACTCTTGCTGCCGCAAGCTATTTAGGCTCTAAATACTTATCCGCCTTCTACAGATGTGGAACATGTTTTCAGAGTTCCGATAGAACTCCTCTTCCTCCGGCGAGGCAGTGTTGAAGAACTAGGAAAGATTTCTGTAATTCTGGCGATCGTTTTTGAAGGGCAGCATTTTCCAGGCAGGTTTCGTGTAAATGTTGCCTTTGTTTCATAGATGCTTGGATTGTAAATATTTTGTACATACATATCTTAGGCCTTTAACGGTCTTTCACTTGTTTGAGGTATACCCTAATATTTTCTTGAATTACGATGAAAAACCCAATTTTCTACCATAAATACTACAAACCTGCACAAATATCAATAAAAATGTATAGAGATTTTGTTGAATGGCCACAAATTCATAAAAAAAAAAAAACAAATCACTTTTTAATTGGGTTCTCCCGTATCTTGCAACGACATCTCGTTGACGCTCTCTCGATCAAGCTTTAAAAATCTATATGTATTGTGTGTCTGCATGGATGACGCACTCCCGCTGGAAATCGCGGGGTCCACCCACAATTGGGCGCCCGATTTTAATGCATTTACCGTCAGTTCCAGACCCCGGACTCCCTATAGAGCCCTCGAGGCGCCCTCGAGGACAGCAACAAAAATAACATCACGTAAAAAAAACAAGTCGAAAAGGGAAATATAATTCGATTTGGTGAATATTTTCAGCCCAGTGCGGGGGCTTCTTTTACACAGCGGCTGCAAGGATGGAGGAAAAGTCAATTTGCTTTCCGGAACCAGATCGTAATGCTGGTAAATGTGGGGGCTCCACGACACACGGTGGATGCTAACGGTTTAAGGTTGTGGGGCTTGTCGATTGTGGGTGGATGTGACCCGTACCCGTACCCGTACCCGTACCCGCACCCACACCCGTACCCGTCCGTCTGCCTGTCTGTTTGACACTTTCTTCATTCTGATTTTTGACATTTGTTGCTTTGCTTTTTGAAAACTTACGGTAATCGGTTATTTGTTGTTCAAGTCGTTTGTAACTGTCGATTATCACACGGTTCACGGTTTAGCAGATGCTTGATTGAGGGAGCTGCTAATTTTCACACGTTTGTTTGTTGTTTGTTTGAGTTCGGAGAACTGTTAGAGAAGTGCACGGGAACAAAAAAGAGCACACTTGAGCGAGCGGTTGCTTGGCTTATTGCCAGTCCCACAGTAAGAGAGCGGTTAAAAAACACTTGTACACTGGTTTGACGCTTTGATTGCGGCAGTTGAGCGGCCCGTTCGGGTTGGGAGAAGAGAACACACCGCGTATGTGTTATACACAACGTCGCGGCTCAGCTGTTCGAACTGTAATACAAGACAGAAAACTCTTTCACTGCCACCAGCACCAGCAGCGGCAGCAGCAGCAGCAGCAGCAGCAGCAGCACTACCACTGGTTCGGTTCGGGAATCGTGCGCTCGGTCTGCGTGCGTGTGTGTGCGTTTTCGCGTGTGTGGGTTGTTCACTGTTATGCGTCCGGCAGTCGACTTACTTGGCCGCCTGCTGCGGTCGCCTTTATAGCATTTTTCGTTAGCAACGCGAGTCTAAGTAAAAGCAGCAGAGCGAGCGGGAGCGGGCTACTGATAGCGAGAGTGAGTGCTCAAGTGCGAGCGAGGGCGAGAGTGATAGCGCCTGCTGTTGCCTGATGCCTGTCTGCCTGTCTGCCTGCCTGTTGCCTGTTGCCAGTTTCTGGCAGTGCGTGGGCCGCGTAGGCAGCAGCGCAGCCAGGAGGAGTCGGGACGAAAAATGCAGCAGACTGCAGCAGCAGAGGCAGCGCAGCAGCAGAGGCAGCAGCGACCGAAGACCATTTAGACATGCCAATTAGCATTGACCGAGCGGAAGCTGTGCTCTCTATCCCTCTCTGGCTCTCGCAGGCGCTTAGCGCGTTAACAGTGGGCTTCTGCTGTTAACATTATCATCATGAATCCGGCAATAATGCGAGAAGCTGAATGAGAGAGCTGACTTTGATTTAGCCGCTCGCTGGGACCACAGATATTCTTGGCCAACTGTTGCCTCTAGTGTGGCCCGCACAGCGCATGGGGTTCAAAGGTCGGCTCGCACAGCCATCAGGTCACTAATTGGCCGCTAGACGAAGAGACCCTACAGACAGACGCCGGCATAGCTCCTCCATTTGATTGATGTGCTGGACAGCGGCTCGACAGCTCTCTCTTTCCCTACCGATTCAGAGACCAAGACCAAGTCCTGACTTGGTCCTGCGGCATTTCCGTGCTGCTGTGTTGGGGTAAACCACAATTTACGATTTTTCAGGTAACAGTACCCTTAACCGTGCAGCCACCATAAAATATTATTGCAGATTTTCCCAAAAAAAAAAAACTTTTCTTGGTAATTTGTTACGAAATTTCCTCAGAGTTTATTGCATCACAGAGAACTGGATATCCCACTGTCATTAGAACGCTTGGTTGTATCTCTGGTCGGGCCGTCGTAAATCAGTTGATGAAATGCCATCAATCAAATGCCTAGATCCTGGCACTGGCACTGGCCACTCTCCACTGGCCATCAATCAAATCAATTCGCGAATTACAAGCAAATTAATCAAGCTAATTATGGGGCTAATGAGTCATGCATCATGCCGCAGGCATCATGCAACTAGCGAACTTGCACCACTGTGCACCAGGGCCACTCTCGCTCGCTCACTCTCCACTCTCCACTCTCTCCATCTGTATCTTTGGCCTTGTCTCGCTCGCTCTCCCGCCAAGAACTCCTTGACAGACGATTGAGAACTTTGGCTGGTTTACCGTTCGTTCTTACCACTCGCCCACAGCCACACAGCCACACAGCCACACACCCACACAGGGACACATTCTCTGGTGCCCGTACGAGTATCAATGTCAAGCAAACTCAGCCGCCCAGACCTGCCCTCTCTCCCCACTCCCCACTCCCCAGCCAGCAGCCAGCAGCCAGCAGCCAGCAGCTCTCTCTGTCACTCGCGCCCTCTCTGTCTGACGTTTTGACAACAGGTGGTTGCGGTTTCGCATTTGCCTAGTCGCACTCTCTTGCCGTCCCTGTTGTTGACAGAGGTGCGGGGCGGAGTGGGAGCAGGAGGTCGGCCGGTCTCGGTCTCGGTCAGTGGATGAGAGGAGCAGTGATAGAGGGGGATCAGTGGAGAAGGAGGAAGTGCAGGCAATTACAATATTTTCATAGCAAATATGAAAAAGCGACACACGACATACGAATCGAACAAGATTCAAGATTCTGGGGGCAATTATTGCAAAATTAGTGTACGGTCGACACAGTCGCACACGCACGGAGGGAGGGAGACCACAGATACACGGCTACAAACACGGACACTGAGCGGAGCTGCACGCTTACGTAGGTACGTGCGAGTGCGACTGTATGGAAATCGAATAAATTATCATTTAATTCAGCATGATGAGACATCGCAAACATAGGAAAACAAATTCATTTTAAGCCAATGACTTGGCAACTTTTATGTCGTTCTCTCCGGAGTTTTTATTTTATTTTTGATACACTTCTTAGTCAAGGGTATCATTAAATCCTGATCGAATATGTATAAGAAATTAATGCAACTTAAATTTTCATATAAAAGTATCACAGGTTTTTAGTCACTTGAAAAGTAAGTCTTTCGTAGTAAAACTTTCTTATTTTTAAAGATCATTAAACCAAAAGCAATACAAATCTACAATCGCGTTCCATAGTTCTCCATAGCCGCCGACCAAAAAATCCTAGGAAATCTAAAACAAAAAAAAAATCCTTTATTTTTTTGGCAATCAAATCTGAACATTAGATATCCGATAGATAGAGTGTCATGTGGCTCGGTCCGCACAGCCGTTGCTTCTTTCTTGTTTACTGTTGAAACTGCTACGAAAAAACACAGAAAAAATACTGGTATCGTCTGTATCTGTGCTTTGTGCTCCGCCTCCCCCGTCTCCACCACCAACTCTGGGGCCGGAGGGGGGCCAGGGACCAGGGGCCAGGCCAGGCGCCCAGGTCCGCCCAGTAGTAGTACGGAGCTTGCGTGTTTTTTGTTATTTGTTTTAATTTGCTTTGATGTTTTTACTACCCTAGGCGTGGTGCCCCATCATGGGGCGTATGGAGCGCATGAAGCGCATGGAGCGTGCGTCTGTTTTTGTGACTAACCAAATATTATTCCATCTAATTGCGGCGAAAGTTCTTGGGATATGCTTTTCCAACTGATTATCGATTATGGCTGACACTTTCGCCCCCTCCCCCATCATTGTGATATGCAGGTCATTCCCGAGTCGTATACTGGTTGGGCAGCAGGCCTTACCGACCCCCCCCCTCCCCGCCATAGTAGCCGGCAAAGGCAACAACTTGTTGAACTTCAATTCATATAATTTCCTACTCCCAGCATTTGATAACAGAAGGCGATCGTCGATAGACAATAGAAAAAATACGCTGAGAGCCGAGCATACTGTTCTGTAGCCTGTTGCTCTGTAGATTATTATATCAGTTTCGTGACGTTTTGAAATTCAAATGAAGTGTGCAGCAGGCTGCCCATCGAAGACTGTTCCAAGATCTCAAGGAATATTCCAGTTCGTAGGAATAGCCGCATATTTCGATGGTCGGGAACCGTCCAATTTGTCTAGGCAAATATTAGCCCAAAGATTAGACGACTCCAACTGACGAATCCCCAAAAAAAAAAAAAGTACCCACCGCTGCACTATCTTTATTATCCCAGAGATAGTTTCAGTTGCGTATCATAAATCCAGCGCCACCAGCAAATTTCTCATACGTTAAATATTTACGGCAGTAATTTGCGGCGAGCACTTTGCACCACAAAATGCGTCACTCAGCCTCGAAAAGCGAAACAGTTTTCGCGTTTTAGTTTCGGGCTAACAGTGATTCTAGACTTTCGTTTGGGGCACAAAGCGCTTGACTCACTCGGCAGTCATTTGAAGCGATTACGACTTGGTTTTGGCCAAGGGGAGGGGGGCCATAGAATACACAGCTAAGGGTATATTTTTGGAGATATGTATGGGCTATAGACATCAAACTAACATGAAATCGCATCTATTTTCCTTGATCTTTGCTTTGCAAACAATTTGCAAAATTTAAAACAAAGTCATCATGAACCCAATTATCGCATGAAATATTGAACAAGTACGGTTGGAAAGGTATTGGAACGTTCGGTCTTATCATGTTCGCCAAGTGGAACCCCGATGGCATAAAAAGTCGCTTCCTTTTGGCGTAGCAAATCAGAATGAAATGTGAACTTCTAATAAATAGTCGCCACTCATCGTGATAGTGGATCGTACTGATACTCGGGAAACACACTCACAATTTGAATGGCAAAAATTCTTATAAATTATAACACACCCATGCTGGCAATGCAAATCGATTGAGATCTCAATGGAATTATTATGCACAACACAACAAATTCGACAACAAGTGCCCAAGAAAAATGATCCAGCAAGAACGACAAGTGGAACCGGCTCTGAAGATTTCTTCTTGAAGAAAGGGGTACAATCCTTAACAGATTCTCCACAAGCATTGATCCTTCTTCATTTGAATTGAGTTGAATTGAATTGAATGACTTATCCAGTGCTGAACAGTGTAGTGTTTCGATGTGTTTTGATTATCCTTGCCAAGGGATTGGATATCACCCCAAAACCTCATCGGTGGAATTCTGCACAACAATTATGTGTCCGAGCACCGCCTGCCCCTCGAAAGAATGCCCGCTTAATGAAATTCCCTTTCAGCATGGTATCGACGACCACATCCACATCCACTCTGGTCGGGTCGAGTCGAGTCGAGTCGGGCATATCTCAATGTACAGAACCGAGAACAGAACGGGGCAAGACAATCCAATTTGGCCAAGCATTTATGCAAATATCTTGAACTGCAACAACATGTTTGTGGTGTCCAAACATCGCCAGGGCCTGTTGCTGTCTTTAGCTTATGGCATGGACATATTTGCGGTTAGTTTATTGACCGACTTCAGGCCCAGCACAGCCGGCACATAGCCAGGGAGGGAGGGCATTTACTGGTTAACTGGTAACCGGTTCCCACCCAGCACCACTCTGTCTCTCTCTCACTCTCAGAGATATTTCTTCAGCCCATTCGATCTGGGGACTGACTGCGGCCGACGCTGACACTAGAGGTGGAGGTGGAGGGTGGAGGGTGGAGGTGGAGGGTGGAGGGTGGAGGTGGAGTGTGGCCAGGCCACAGGGCGCTGGAGCTGGAGCTGGAGCTGTGCCTCTCTCAAGCTAATTTCGCCACATTGTCACATACTTTGCTCAACCGCCAACTGAAGAAGGGGTCTCCAGCTGCACGCCCCACGACCGGCCCCATGCTATCCAATTACCAGCGATGGCATGACACATCATCGCCTTGGAGCCAACGGGGGACAGTCCATATCAAAGCGATTATCAATCGCAAAATATATGTACACCAAAATTTGGATCTCTTCAAAGCTCACTCCACAAAATGGCACACCACTGATTCATTAGAGATTGCTTGGA